AAACCGTCGATGCAACGTCTGGATCGGCCTAGTTGTTCCGCGATGGCCTTGTTGCTATGGCCTGCCTGACGAAGCGATAGAATTTGGCTTTGTTCTGTTGAAGATAGACGACGACCGTTAGGCATGGTGGACTGCTTTAGGTTTCGGAATCCTGCCACTCCGTACAGAAGGCGGTAGGGCTGCGCGGACTTGAGATATTTTGTAACAACGACGGCATGGCATAAGCAATTGACGCGGCTCATTTTCACTTTGTCGCCAAAAAAGGGCGCTACCGCAGCGTTCAAATATGTTTAGGCTTTGTTGAAACTCTTGTTCACTCAGTAAGTGTTGGTCAACATTTCAACTCGCAATGTTGCCTAACAACTCAGATAAAAGAAAAAATAGGGGATGGCATATGCAATTGACGCGCACTGTAGTTTATCGTTTTGTGTGCACATATCATAATCCGCTAATTCTATTCTTGAGGTTACGCCCTTTCGAGGCCCTCTCATGAGGTGAATGTGGTGGTGTGGTTAGGCATGATACCACTGTACGCAAAAGCTTGAATGTGCCAACGACTTGCTTTGAAGTTGTTCCATATGGTCCTCCATTATTGGTTTGAAGCGGCATCTATCCTTCCAACTTATCGGCTAATCTCCAAAGGTGGGCAAATCGGCCCGTTTGTTTTGCGCCTGATAGTTGCGACCACCGTAAGTTATCAATAACAGACTAATCAAAAGCTCATGCTCATTACAAAACGTGTTTCTCATGCTCGAGAAGGTGCGGCTTTTTTGAAACTCGAACTATAGGAGGCTATGGACTTTTCTGATAGCGCTATGAAATTAGAGCTCATGGGTCAGATCACAAACTTGAGGCTGCATCTCACTCCGGAACTTCTATATCCCTCCGAGGTGCGAGGTTTCTTCGGCGAAATTACGGGTTCATCGTCGCTGTCATCATTAGGTGATCGCAGAGGTTCACTGTGATCGCCTTTCACGGGCTCGACTTCCTCACAGAGGATAACGGGGTTGTTTTTGCAGCATCGAGAAGTACGGTTCAAAAGCTCTTCATCACCGCCCCTTCCTAAATAGCGCCCACGTTGTGCTGCAAGAGCGAAAGCCTTCCATCAAATTCGATGACCCCACCTTCGCTCAGAATTTTTGCTGGTAACATGTAGAAGAGCGTTTAACCCCATGAATCATTTGGGACCTTTCTTCTTGAAGCCTCTTAGGCCCATTTTGAGCAAATGTTAAGAATTCCTGTTTTGCTAAAATGGAGCTTCACCCTTATTCGGAAGGTGAGGGGCGAAAAATCCTTGTAATACCCTTTCAGTGTTCTTAAATTGTGAGGGAGCTCTACATATACCCAACGTCGAGCCCAAAAACGTATTGTAAGCGTTTAGGACGATTTTCATGTAAAAGCAAAGCAAGCCCATGCATCAAGGAGTCGAACCTTGATGTCATGCCTTCATGCCCACTGTTCTATCAGCTGCGCCACCGTCGCACGCTTACGACTTCGCGACAAGTGATGGGACCAATGCCTCCCTGTGTTATAACAGTGTACCGAAGGATCACTTCGCTTCGCTTGGTGGTCCTTCGGTACACTGTTGTAACACAGGGAGACATTGGCTCCCAGATCACTTAGCAATTTGCAGATTTGAGCACAGGTTTGAGATCAGCATTCGGGTATCACGGGGTATACATCCCATCTTGAATGGCCACTGCGACCAGTATCCTGACGAATATAGTATAGAACTGGCACTGGCGTCATTGGAGGGATGGCGTTCCAGAAGTATGGCGTGACGCAACGAAAAGTTGTGAGTGTTTTTGTCAAATGTCCGGTGAACAAAGCGCATTCTCATCTGAATTATCAAGAAACACTTTTCAGCATGGTAGTCTTGCCCCTTGGAATTCAAAGTGAACGAAAGTGGCAGTTCTCGATAGTCCAAGAGTGACACGTGGAGTATACCTGGTCGCCCCGTATAGCTAATTAGCAATGGATAGATCACACATGAGCAGTTGAGCAGTCCAAAAGCTCTCGTCAAAGTCTCTAGCTGGACGGAATTTTGGATTGGAGCCTCCACTATTTTCTTTAGTAATATTTATGTAAGTTTATACAT